CCAAGATCATGGATAAACCATCGATCGACTCGGACGTCAGCTATAACTGGCTGAAGAAGGGACTGCTGAATGCCGAGACAGAGAGCAACATCCTAGCCATTCAGGACCAGTGCATTAGAACTCGTAACTACGAGAAGCACATCCTGAAGCTGGATGTGGAAGACCGCTGCAGATGCTGTCATGGACCACCCGAAACGGTTCACCACCTCCTCAGTGCCTGCCCCGAACTAGCCCCGAGGGAGTACTTGTAGAGGCACGACCAAGTGTGCAAATATGTGCACTGGTGTGTCTCAAAGCAAGCCGGGAAGTCCCAGAGAAGTGGTACGAACACCAGCCAGTCTGTCGTGGAGAACGCCTCCACCAAGATACTATGGGACATGCCTATAATTACAGATCGCAGTATAGGCTGCAATAGGCTGGACCTCACGATCTATAAGAAGAAGACCGCCCTCCTTGTAGATGTGAGCATCCCAGCCATGAATGGAGGGTCGGGTGTTATTGGCCTAATGTGCCTCGAGGTCAGGGCTTGAAGGTAGCAGGCAGGAGCAATCTGGACATCGTTCCAATCTGTCAGTGCAGGACACAATTAGCTGAATGCAAGGTAGTGCCTTTCCACAGCCTACACATCAAAGTATTTGATGTGTAGCCTGTATTAATCAAATAGTCAAAGTTATCAAAGTATTTGATAACTTTGACTATTTGACTAATACTTCTATCAAAGTATTCGATAAGCTTGTTTTACGCCTAGCCCTTCCCCCCTTTTTCGCTTTTCCTTAATAGGCTTGAGCTCTCCCAAGCCATGCTCTCGCTTCATTCCATTTTAGGCTTGTGTCTACCATGCATTTCAGCTGTGAGGCTGGTCGAGCTAATCGATTGTTTAATTGTGGCACTGGCAGATGGATTTAAGCCGGAATTGCTTCTGGGGCATTAAGTACTACCTCTACTATTTACATCTGCAGCCGTAGCACCTGACGGCAGAAACTCTCTGGATAGGGTTTGTAAGTCAGACTTGTGGCCTCAACCCTCTGACGACGCAGGCTGCCTGACAAATTTCTGGGATAGGATCCTTCGCTGTCTCTTTTTAACTCCTCCCACTCTGAGGATGACATTGCTGCGGATATATTGGCTGGATATTTTCGGACTACCAAGGAGAGGAGGCTGGCGGAACTGAAGTGGATTATAAGGGAGGACACACATCGATCGGGTTTAAACCGTGACATCGGATTTCTTTCCCTGTACCCCTTCTTTCAGTCGAACAATCGCGCTCACACCTAGTCCCCTGAGGGTCCTTGTACCGAAACGTTGGGACGAAAATACATCTTTCATTTTAGTTGGCTATCAGGTGCACCCTCCTTCATTCCAATATATTCCAACACGTACACCTAGTCCTGCCATAAATACTGTTACAAGGTTTTTTTGTAATAACTCTTTTCATATAAAACATAAGCTGTGTTTGCTAACAGCATTTATTTCCCTACATAATTACTTGCATGTCTTCTGTGCTTGGCCATCAGGTCCAACTCTGCCCACAGTTTGTTGTCCAGTGGGTTCCCAGATGGCCAATCGGAGGCTTTGATGAACTCGGGGACATTGCTGGCTAGCCACTCCTGCGTTGTTCTAACCTTGTTAGCAGGTTCGGAGTCTTGCTGGAAGATCTAGTTGTCCCCATTGAACATTGTTTAGCCAACGTGCGAATGCGGCACTCCAATCCAAACTATGGAGCACATCATCAACGAGTGCACATTGTACTCATTTCCCGTCAGCATCAAGGATATACACGCAGCATCACTAAAAACTATCGACTGGATTTCAAAGATTAACATCAATTTCTAATAGTCATAGCGACTATTAGACTAACAATCTTCTTTCTTTCGTATGGGTATAGCACCCATGCGAAAGAAAAAAGATTGTTTAGCTGAGAGGCTTCACTGACTTCTCTAAGACTTCTTCCTGGTACACTTTGGCTGATGTCTTCATTTCTTCCTTGCAAAAATGCAGCTTGGTGACACCCTCATAACTCATCCCCCACCAAACCATGACAGAAGCATGGTGACTTCTCTCCACCTCATGGATGACATCTGCAGCTTCCCAAGCGTTGTGGGCATACACTTGGCCATTTGGCCAGTTGAATTTTTCTTCAACAGTGAATATTTTCTCATCAGTAAAGAGGATTTTGTGGTGTCTGTTTTGCGCGTACCTCTGCAGCAACACTTTCGATCGCGACCTCCTGATTTCTTTCAGAGATGGAGTCAGCATGTGTCTTGTGCTTCTTAGGTAAGCACCCAACCTTAGGTCTGATTTAATTAACCGATACGTGCTTCTAGTCGAGATGGCCATTTCCCTTGGCATCACTTTCTGCTTGCGCTGAGGATTTCGCTGAATCCTGTTGCTAACTTCTTTGATGACTCGTGGTGTTCTGGCAGTGGGTGGACGTCCAGATTTAGGGCGGTCTCGTACTCCCTGAGTATCATTGTAACGTTTGATAGCTCGGTAAACAAACTGCCGACTGATTCCAAGTGGCTGCAAAGTCTTGAAATAAATGCAGGTTTCTGACCCACTTTGTGCTCACTGCTATGCGATTCTCTTTGTCACCCCACTCCATGTTTACTGTACGCAACACAACAGCCAAAATGTTACCAAACAATACGGCAGATAATAAACTTCACGATTACTAGATAACAAGTTTCTAGCTTTCACTAGAATGCAAGGAACATCTAAATCTTGTAACAGCATTTATGGCAGAACTAGTATATATATATATATATATATAAAGAGAATTTTCTGTTGCCCTTGGGTAGTTTCGAGCAATTTCGGCACCAAATAATTTCTCTTACTCTGTGCACCTTGGTTGGGGGCAGTTTACTGCCCAGCCAGGTAACTGCCTATTTAGCCAATATCTTTCTTTAATATTAGGTCCATTACTATTTTTAGTGCATTACATTATATATTTTTTTATTACTGAAATCCGTACTCGGAGAACTAGATACGTACCAAGTTTCAGCCTGCAAAAATATATTTGGGAAAGCTGATGCAGACAAATGCTATGCCCTCAGGGTATGCACCTCAAAACTTGAAAATTTTCTGAACTCACTATCACCTCAGTTATTGGTGTGCCAAGTTTCACCTTTCTATTTCAGCCCAATAAGGCAGGACAAAGAAAAATTATTTGAAAACGTCACCAAACAAAAATATGCCCTCAGGATATTTTTGTTTGGGCATTCAAAACTTGAAAATTTTCCTGAACTCAGTGTCAGTAGTGCCTACTGACACTGAGTTCAGGAAAAATTTTTCATGTTCATCCATGTTTCCAGTTTTCCATGTTCAAAGCAAAAAAAGCAACAAAAAAAATTAGTTGAAAAAATCTCGCCTTGAAATTTGCGACCCCGGGGCATTTACCTCAAAAGTCTGAATGTTTTTGGGCTCAGCATCCCAATAGATACTTATGCATCAAAGTTTCACTTTTCTCTTAGATTCACGAAACAAGGAAAAAAGTTTTTACTAGCTTCTTCTGCCTTCAGGTGCACACGTGTTATAAGTACAGAGGTGGATTGCATAAAACAATGCCAACATTAAAGTGAAGGTTTAAAGTGAGTCATTGCATTAAAAAATTCAAAGTTTCATTAGTTAACTGACAGCGCTTCCTAATGTGCATTAGCGACCCAGATAATGTATATCAGGGACCCGCAAGAATGTCGTTCGCTTCGGTAACGTTCAAATATTGAATTTTTTTCTGTTCAATGCTCGCAAAAGTACGAGGGTGAGTCAAAAAGTAGCAGGACATCTGCGATCATAACGTAAATGTAACTAGCAACATATTTCGCACATAGTACTGCTTGTTAAAATATCAGCACCGTGAAAACGGTGGTCTTTGGCTTTGCTGCCGCCTTGTGCGCCCCCTACAGTTACAAAAAATACGGCTAAAGGTCTTGATTGCACCAAGGAAGAGTTGTGTTTTGTGATCCGTTTTTTTTTTTCAGGCGAAGGTGCCGTGAATTGCAATGAAATTTATCGCAGACAGTGCTGCAGACACGACGCGTTCAGGCCTGTAACACTCGTCGAACGATGCGGCGCAAAGTCGATGTTGAGTGCGTCAGAGACGACGACCTGAAAGGACCCGCACCCATAGAACCGAAGAGCGCAGCAGATCTGCAGCAGTGGCGGTATCGTGTAGTTCCTGTTCGTTCTATGCGTTAGATCGGGTCAAAATAAGTCCATCAAATGGAAGTTCATGTGGTACCGATTCAGGGGAATAATGCTCCAAGCCGTTCACGGAACACAAGTTCCTGGCTCTCACAACCATGAACTCGGCCGTGGCAAACTCGTCGAGTGCTTCAACTAAGTTAGGACGACCTTCTACTGAATTCATTGCTCATTCACTCTGACAACGATTCACTATAGCAACAGAAAAACTAATATTCTAAAAAAAAAAACTAAATAATATAATAATAGAAAAATATTCTGGAAAAAATATATAAAATAAAAAAAACTGTTCGTGGACATCCGTGAAGCAGTAAGAAAGTGTCTCGAATCAGCGACCGTACGTTCCTCCTCGGTGCTAATGGAAGTTGAAAGTAGGGTCATAGTAGCATTAAAGCAGGGGTCGGGAACCTTTTTGGTCATGTAAGCCATATTATGATTGGTCTAAGTGCTTATGAGCGAAAGATTTTCAAAACAACATTTTTTGAATTTCGCAACAGACATGGATTCTTTGATACGTGAGAAAAATAAGGAATGACCATGATTTTCAGCCATGACTCAATGAGCCAAACTCTTCGGCTCGTGATCAGCCATAGGTTCCCAATCGTCAGCCATAGGTTCCCGACCCCTGCATTAATTTTTTTTTCCAGTTTTATTGGACAATCTGCTTAACATGCAGAACGCACAGAAACAATGACAAATGGTACAAAGGACAACCTGAAATGTCAAACTCCAAAAGTTTGACATTTCAAAATTTGGCAATTCAAGAAATTGGCATCTCAAAAAGTTTAAATAATCAAGTATTTGAATTATGTAATAAGAACATATCATGGACAACATTATATAATCATCGGCATCCATTTTCCCCACAGTTGAAAAATATTCAAAGGCACAGTTAGAAGCGAAAACGTAGCATTATTTTCTTCTTGAAATAAGACCTTAATCATTGGCTTAGTTTTATTTAGGGAGCAGCAGTATATGTAGTTCTTAAGTTCTTGTTCTTAATTCGTTGTTCCAATTTTTTAAAAATATTTGTAGGTGTTTTCTTGATGTTTCTAAGATGTTTTCCCTTTCGAGAATTCCAAAATTTTCTTAATGAGCGTAGGTCTCCTAGGGAAGGTTTGATTTCTATTTTCATTCATATTCCTCCGTCTTGAACCTTTTTTAATAGCTACTATTAAGCTGTTATATAGGAGAAAATTACTGCGGATGTGGGGGTATCGATATGTGAATTCTTGAAAAGTATAGAATCGGGAACCTTCTCCATTTAAGAGATCTCAGTTTTAACTCAAGCTTGATACCATTTTTTCCAGAATACTGGCTAATCCTCCACACGGAAGAGGGTGTTACACCAAGTCGGGCAGTCGCTAATACTCAGAGGAACGGGAAATTTTGGAACGGAGATTTATGGAAGAGAAAAAATATTTTTTATACATTTATTCCTGACAATAGTACAGAGTATGCCATTGATGAATTCCATACCAATATTTATTTCTTGAAGATGACATCAAGTAGGTGACCCCCATCTCTGCGCAGACATTCCTGTAGCTGAGCAGGATTTCGCTGGGCCCAATAGCGAAAATTTTGTTTATTGACGAATCCGTTCAGGTGGAAGTGGGCTTCGTCTGACAATCCACAGGTTGTTAATGAAATCCTCGTCCTCGTTTACCTTTGCCATCATTCGTTCACAGAATTGTCACCGCATTAGGTGATCATTGGGTTTAAGTTAGTGGACGATCTGTAACTTGTACGGATGGAACTTTAAGTCCTGCGACAGTATTCTTTGAACACTCGAACGATGCAATTGTAAAGAATTGCAAGACGTCGAACTGAACGTTGTGGGCTTCTTATGACAGCAGCTTGAACAGCCTCGATATTGTCTGGCGTACGAGCGGTTCGCACACAACCTGCAGGTTTCTTTTTCAGAACCGAACCTGTTTCCTTAAAATTCCGTACCCATGTGTTAATTGCATGTGCTGACGGAACACGAGCATGACGTCCTAAATTGAAGTGACGTCGAAATTCTCTACGCGCAGCCTCCACACTGTCATTGTTCTTGTAAAATGCTTTGACCGCAAACGCACGTTGTGCACCACTCCACTGATCCATGATAACTAAACGGCAAGATGTCGTAAGGTGGGTTTCATATGTCATTCAGCGCTACCAACCTCCCAGGGCTAACAAAACCTTTTTCAAAATTTCCCGTTTCTCTGAGCCTGAGCCTTTTTCTGAGTATATTAGATAGATTCAACTAATTCTAACTGTAGTGTCTGTTCCTATTTGGAGCTCTAGAATTATGAATAATTTTCTCCGAAACAATTGAACTGTATATTCAGAGGTAGATGAGTTCTCATATTTCATCACTTGGAATGCCATCGGCAAAAAACGCCAAAGACTGTCATACCTGGGATGCCGGTCTCAGGACGGAGAAGGGCTTGAGTCTCCAGTTTGAATCGTTCCATGTCGTGATGGAGGCCGTAAATGTCTCCCACGGTGTTTCCAAGGTAATAATTGTGACTCAATGGAGAGCCAATCACGACGAGGTCAATCTTGTCCTGAAAGGGGTAATTCTCTTTTAGCAATATTGAATATGCGAAGTCACTAGCGACAGAACCCACAACAATTTACCTGAATCTGTGGGAAGAGCTTGCATGCTTGGTCGATGAGCCGGTGGCCGATGGTCTTCTTGATCTCCTCGTAACGGTCACCGCGATGATTCAAGTTCTCTTTTTCCCATGAACGAAACCATTCATATTCCAGGTAAGTGATAAGGGTGCATGTTGCCTTCCCTAGAAATTGCATGGGATTGCAGACTCTTTAAACCGTTAAGAAAAAAATAACTAAAAAACCGCAATCTTATATATTAATCGGCAAGTTTCCGTCCGTCTGAAACGCTCTGCGTAGGGTGAGGGCTCCCTCCCAGGATTCTCAACTTCTTTCAAAAACTCTCACTCATTTCGACATCGAGATACCGCCTCGGATCTAACCGAAATTTGATCATTTTTTGCCTTCCATAACTCAGCGTACAACGGTCGCAAGGATATCTCTCTCATCCCTGCACATCCTCCTGATCCATCCTTCCAGGAGTGACGCCGTACCTATGCATCCATCCATATCTGATGACATAGATTATCCTGCCAATCATGCCGTAGTAAGCTACGGGCCAGAAACGAGTTCTGATTTTCCTGATGCTCAAGGATCCGGCCAGGAGCGCAGCAACATTTTGGCGGGAATTTCCACTCAGCCTCCCCCGCCGGATTTTACCGACGCTCCACAAAATTTTCCTTATGATGGATTAATGGCGGCTTCCCCTATTGGAGTTCAAAATAATTTGGGCGCTAACGGTGACTCGGGAATGAACAATGATATGGACCGCGGAGTGAGATTCATGAAATTACTGACCGTGCTGAAAATGCTGCATTGCGAGCGCCTCTCGGAACAAGAGTCGCGTAGCGACGCGAGCGAAGCTAGTTGGCTAGCGATCTTTATTCTATTACAGACTAAATAGTATTTCTCGAGATTTAGCTCACTTGAACTGGAGCTGAAATATCCCATCAATTAGAATACCAATAGTTAGGACATTTTTTCTTAATTTAATTTTTTAGGAGTGCGTGCACAAGAAAATTGGGCATTTTTAAGGAGTTCATACCTCGTTTATTTGTTACATTGGGCATGTCCTTTGGTGCCTAATGGAATGTCAGAAAATATTTATAATATTTTGACCTTGGGAGCTAAGCCATTGTCTTAAGTTTCTGCCTCAGGCCACAACTCCAAAATGCATTCATATGCTAAAAACTTACTACTTGAACTTGACGGGCAAATTACTGTGTGTTAATTTTAAGGACCCAGTTATATTTATATATGCCCAATTTTAAGGAGTCCAGTTAAATTACCCTTACAAGATTACAATGCCACTCAGTGTTGCTTAGAAAGTGCAAAATATTATCGCTTTGGATCTCCATAGCTTCTGGCAACGAAACGAAGACTAGGAGTTCCTCAAACCATAAGAAAGTTCAATCCGCACATTAAACGGATTGCCTTTTCCGCAACAATGAAACATTTAATGCCATGGAAGAGAAAGAACTCAAACATTTCTAATGCTGGAAATCTAATCCCTTCAAATTGATTAATGTGGTTACAGAACATCACCTTTGGTCAGTACAGGTGCAAATACGGCTGATGGGATTATTTTTCCTGAGGCAATAGCGTTAGAGTTCTCTATCTTTGGGATATAAGGTTTTATTTGGGGGTCGTTTAATGAAGGGATGTGCGGCTCCTACCCTTCTGCTTTCATGAAATTCTTGCAATATATATTTTAAACAATGGAATTAATATATTTACGCAAAGTAGCCATTATAACCATTTCAACCATTTCCCATACGTGACTTTTGTTCATCTTAATTGCAAACTGGGAAACTCGGGATGAGGGCTACAAGCCAGAGGCGCACAAAACGTTCATGTACGCTGAAGCCTGATTGTGGAATGTTGAATGGGAACAAGTGATTTACAGCTCAGTCGCCACAAGATGCTACCACTGCTTTAGGCATTTATTACTAGCTCCAAGAGCCAATGGTCTCACATTCATTCCTTTTGCAATAGAGCATCACGGTCATTATATGAAACCAGCACCTGAGAAATTATTAATTGCTATTAACGCTATTCAAAGTAGAAAAGCCAGAAAATCCTTCCCTCCAATATGTAAAATTGACCCCAGCTTAGGTCGGTCAGAAAATTTTCAATTCCCTTTAAAAACGTTAAAATCGATTTCGGTGATTGTAAGAGCTTGCTAAATAAATAAAAAATTATTTTTAGAATCCCAAATTCCACGGTTTTAGGCAGATGTTCCATAATGATATGAATGCCTTCTATTGGTTTCGCCGAATTTTGATTATTTCCGTTATGTTGCGTTCCCTAACCACAGTGTACTGGTAACCTGGATATCTCTGGTCGTGGGTCGGGTCCTTGGCGGAGGGGAAGGAGACGAACATGAGAGGGATATCAGCGTCCAGTGCCTCCTCGACGGTCTTCCGATTGTATGCCAGGTAAAGCTAAGGGAATAATATTACCATATACATCTCGTTCTCGTCTGTCAGCTCCAGAAACCAAGACCTGTACACTTGCCTCCTCGAGGTTGTTGTCCATGAAGCACCAATAGTTCTGGGCAGTCAGTTTGAGCTCCTCATTGGATGCATTGAGGCCAAGGAAGACTTGCAAGCAGGTAAGGCTCCGTTTCACTTGAGACAAGACTGGGAACTGGATGGCACGCTTTCCAACTTTTTCCGGCAGAAGCTTCGTAAGAGTCACATTCACACCTGCGATTTCGACACAAAAAGTGCATTCCGTGAATATTTGGAGTGGTATCATATTATGGAATTTGGTTTGGATGTATCCCTTTCCGAGAGTAACCAGCCCACAGATCCACAAGTCGCATTTCATTGTGACTCATGGTTCTCAATAATATGGCAGCATTAAACACAAACATATAACCAAGTTAATTTTTTTTCCTACATTCGGAGTTCATTCTGGTACCGAAAAATGAGCTGTAAATCCGTCTACAGGGGTTAGACACAGGGAAACTTGTACAACAATGCTGTTAATTTTGATTCGTTCCAAGAAAGGAGACAAAGAATGCGATTTCTTAAAGTCGAATCGAAACAATTGAATACGACAACACACGGTATCAAGGAAAGGTACTCTGAATGGACACAGATGGCAGGACATTAAACTTAACTCGACCTCTGCTGAAATTCAGCTAATTTGACCTGATCCAAGATAGCTTGCCCCAGCTCCACAGACAGAGCATAAAATGAGAGGGTAACAGGCGAAACAATGCAAGCTTATTGCAAGGGAATCAACCAGGTAAGGAAAGAATCAGATAATTCTTTTTATGTTGATCCGATCAACCATTAGCAAAGGTTAACCTATTATAAACCAGCAGGTACTGAGGTAAGTTAGTGCTAGGTTGATAAGATTGTGGCCGCATGACACATTATGTACTCAATACCAACTGAATGCCTGCCTTACTATTTGCTTGGGTGGTGACAATGGAAGGACCCCCTATACTTTCCTCAGTTGACATTCTGAAGCCTCGAGTAAAAACAAAATTGAGACAAGAAATTGAGGGGCAGAAAATGGAGACTTAAAATTCCTCACAAACCTATAAGTTCAAAAAGCACTCTGCCAGTTAAAAAAAAAAACCTGGAGGGGACTTAGGCATACTCACTCCTTACAAGGCAGCGAATCCGCTAAGAAATTACCAAAAGTATTCCTTTGAAGAGTATCCAGACATCACTGCCACCAAGTTTAAACGTGAGCACTGAAAGCACTCAAGCAGCATGTTCACGTAAACAAGATATCAATTTTTTGCAAACCATATAATTTCTTGCGATTTCCATGAGAATGACATCATGTTTATGTAAAATTTACGTTCTTACATTTACGTCACTAAAGTGTACGTGTATTTTACAAAAACTTGACGTCACATCATCTGACGTGAATTACATGATATCAAGTTTGTGAAAAATTAACACCACACCATCCATATGAAACTTTAGCTGACCATCCAGCAGTTGCAGTACCAAGATTCCTCTCTAGATGGAACCCTTGTTCCCTGCATCCTACAAATGCTGTCAAGTACTGGCTTTCCTGATATCAAATCAGGTTTTCTTACCATTCTTCCACTTTTTATTTTCTAATCCAAGAATATACAATTATATATATGAAAAACATGACATTATTATAGATTTTTTTATAATATATGACTCAGGGAATTATTACATGCTGAAGCTAAGCTTTTTATTACAGCAGCGCACGGGATTAGGGAAAAGTAGAATCCCAGCTCCACACCTTCTCTATCCGAAATGGATGAGAGCTTCTCTAAACATCTACTCCTCCTCCCGAGGTTCTAGTACGGGAGGAGGATGCAGTAAGTCATTGTTGTACTCTTGATGGTGAGGATGAGTATTTGTGTATTCCTGTACTCGTCCAACCACCCTAGAGTTCTAAAGTATGGAAAGGAATGGGAGAAATACATCAATTTCCTTCAAACGTACTGATTGGCTTGTTAAATACACATGAATGTTGGGGGGAAATTAACATGCTGTTGGGAATTTAAACGGGAATGTCGATTTTGTGTAAAATTTAATTGTATATCACCGTTTTCATATCACAATGGTGACATTTCTGCAAGCATAACATTATCTTGACGATGGTTTGCGTACAAATAATATAAATTGACAAAAAAATTTACGTACATTTTAAGGGAAATTGGCATGATCGTACTGCTTGGGACAGGTAAGGTTGCATTGCAAGAAAGAACGAAAGAAAGCCAATGGACGGCTGGGAATTGAACCCAGGCTTCCTGATTGCCGGTCAGGTGTGCTACCATTGCAACACCGAACCAGGGACATGCAGTCGTTCCTTTCAATGCCATCCCTATCATCATGAAATGTAAACATTGAAAAGCAAGTTGTACGTAGTTCCGGTTGATGCATTCCAGGCCTGCTCCCAGGACCTCTATCTTCTGGCAGAAGTGCATCAGTGCAAATAGGGACTTTTTTGAAGGCCCCGAGTCCGGCAACTTTTTGACTGTACTACGTTTGAAGCACCTTCCCCCTGGTATATAGCTTTTTCAATTAGGTGCGATAATCAAAAGGGAACTCCAGAGCATAAAAATATTCTGTGATGTCAACCAATTCTTTCCACCAAATTTATTTTCAAAACGCCCTCGATCATTCACCAATATTGTAAATATTTACCACACTTCTTGGGGAACAAACTTCTTACCAACGAAGAACCAGCCCTAAGCAGCAGGCGATATTGTACAAAGCTAATGTTATCATCACCAAGCACAAAAGAGGAGTTAATGCATGTGAACCTACTTGTGCTGGAGATAACCATCGGGGCAGTGAGGTTGAAGGAACCAGAGCCTTTCTCGACGACCACACCAATGGCTCTAGTACCTGATTCGTCAAGGAGGATCTCTTTCACATTGGCACGCACGAGTACTTTCCCTCCCGATTTCTCTATCACGGGGATGATGTGGAACGCTATCTCCGATGCTCCTCCTCGCGGATAGTAGGACCCTACATGCCATATTATACACTTTCAGTCGTACTTTTCCTGGGCTTCTTCATATTCAATCTAAATATCTAAATGTATCTGAATATAAAAAGAACGAGTTATTTTGCTACTATATCCAGTAGGTATTGCGTCAGCTTCTTGTTTTCATTCACATGAAAGATGATTCAGGTAAATATATATTAAATAAAGAGATAAAGAGATGTCTGGTCCAGTGAATCACAGAGGAAAACAATTCAACCTCCATAAAAGTGTTCATGAAGGAAGGCCAGAAGGTTGAAGCCAGCTTCACTGGGTAGAACTCCAAAGTCGCCAAATATGTAGGTAAAGGCAGCCCTTAGGTCCTTGTTGTCTGTGTGTTCCTAGAACAATAACAGAAAAGTCATGCTGGAAACTATAGGTTTTCCTCATCAAATATAGAAATGAGGAAGTCGAATTTCACAAATCTACTTCTTTCATATGGGAATAGCGACTATTAGAAATTGATGTTAATCTTTAAAATCCAGTCAAGAGTTTTTAGTGATGCGGTGCGTATACCCTTGATGCTGCCTGGAAATGAGTACAATGGGGCATTCGTTGATGAGGTGCTCAATTATTTTGGTTGGGGTGCTGCATTCGCACGTTGGCGATTGTTTAATGCGCCACTAGTGCATCAGATGTCCGGATCGAACATGAAGAGTCCGGATGCGACCTAAGTTCACCCGTTTGCGGCGTGGTAGTGTCACACCTGGTACCTCAGCTCAATCGTCGATGAGGTTATTTTTCACGTTCACGTGAGATTAGGCATTTCTCTAGCGTTCTTCCACGCGCGCCTCACGGTCGTCCAGGACTCTCGCGGCGGTCCAGAAAGGAGGCCTTGATTTTAGACGGGACGGGATGGCCTCATCGATGTCGCGGTGAATTGGGAGGGATGGGTTGGAAATGATCTTGTTGTACTCGCGCACAGTCGCCATGTCTCGCCGGATTTCGGCAAGGGAGATGTGCGCGAACACTGGGAATCATGGGAGTGTAGTCGACTTGATGCATCCGGTTACCACTCGAAGAGCAGCATTCAGCTGCGAGTCGATTGCGTCTGTGTGAGCCCTGCGGGCCCACACGGGAGCGCAGTACTCCGCGTTCGAGTAGACCAAAGCGAGTATTGCGGTTCGGAGGGTACGAACGTCAGATCACCATGTAGTGCCAGCGAGGCGCTGGATAAGGTTGACAAGCTTATTCCTGAGTTTCTTCAGGTGCTGCTGAAACGTCAGGCTCCTCTCCAGTATTATTTCCAGATATCGGGGGTTTGGGTCGCGCTAGACGCTATGACAGCAGAACTGTGTCTTCAGCGTTCTGTTGGCGGCGGAGTTTTGGAGATGGAATGCTGTAACTGCGGTCTTTGGCGAGTTGGGACAGAGACGCCATTGACGGAAGTGATCGTCCATCTTCTTTAGGTCGTTATTTAGCGTAGCTTCCGTTTCCTCGAGTGTGCTACCTTGCGTTGCCAGCGCCAGGTCGTTGGCATACTCAAATTTGCGGAACGTGGTCGCGGGCAGGTCATTGATGTAGAGGTTGAACAGGCCTGGTGCTAGTACGGAGCCATGAGGGATACCATTTTGTAGCATGAGTTGGCGGCTGGTTTTATTGCCAAGGTGCACGCAGAACTTTCGGTCGATCAGCATCGCTTTAATGAGGAGCACTGTTGGGGCTCATCTAACAAAGTTGCTCAATTTCAAGAGGAAGCCGTCCCTCCAGACAGTATAGTAGGCCACTGTGAGGTCTATAAATGCTGCGGCGGTCTTTCTCTTGTGTTGTTACCCAGCCTCGATGTGTGGCGTAAGAGCTACCTCTCGATCACAGCAACCGCGACAGGGCCAGAAACCAGCCTGCTCCGGAGGGATTGCGCTCTCCAGAATGGGGGCCAGCCGGGTTAGCATCGCCCGCTCAAGCAACTTGTAGGTTGTTGAGGTGAGTGATATTGGCCGATAGCTCCTTGAATCGTGAGCTGGTTTGCCTGGTTTAAGAAGGGCGATGACCTTTACCTTCGCCATACTTTCGGTAGTTTTCCTGAGTTAAGGTACTAATAGATGTTGAAAATCGACCACCCTGAAATTAAAATCTGGCTTATAGTTATTGTAGAGGACCCCAAGGGAGGGTCCCAAAAATCCCTAAGGATCTGAGGTGAGTGAACAGATTCGTCTGAAAATGAAGCTGAAGCTGCTGAAGAGGCTTCACAATTCGGTTAGAGGAAATTTTGAATTTTCCTCTCGTTCTCGAGAAATGACCATGGATGTGACGTACTAGGCAAAAATAGGGAGATTTTGAGGTATATCATCGAACTTCCTGGGAAAGCGGTTCGTTGAATCATCGCTCCCTTTGACACGAAGACGATTGGGGACGGTCTCAAAAACCTGGAGCATGCTTTCCTCGATGCAATGTTTCTTCGGAGAATGAGCGAGGAAAGAAGCGAATTCGCGAAAGGCGAATTTTCACAAATGGCGCAACGGAGTCTCGGGGAGCAGAGACATGAGCACCTTTTTGGACTCATTTAATATATTCTGTGACGAGGAAAAAGGCGCAAATTTGACGCTTCTGCTACCAAGGGTTGCGGAGATACAGATTCTCAAAGAGAGGCATGCAAATCGTGACCTTTGACCATTCGCCACGGTCAGGTGCTTGACCCGAGAGTGCCAAAAAGGGGCTCCAAGGCCTCTTTTTGGCACAAGACCCCTTAGGGTCCTCTACAAGATTTATAAGTTATATTTTAATTTCAGGAGGGTCGATTTTCTTCTTCCATTAGTACCTTCAGGATGCTACTGAATAGTTTCGGAAGGCAGGCGCGTGCTCTTTCTTCCAGTTTTTCAAAAGTCCCACAAGTCCCACTTACCGCATTTTCTTTTCACATGCCCAGTATGTGACCATTATCGTAATTTCTTACCTGTTTATTTCTGGTGACGTTCTAATCGTTAGAAATTCATTTCGCTAATGTCACCTGAAAAAGAAAGTACGTATAAAATGATCTCTAACTATTTGAACCAAGCTCTCACCCTAAGAAATGATTTCTGCAGGGGCCACTTCAACACATTCTACTATCATATTTCCCCTTTAGTATCACAGTGCTGTCTATGCAATCCTTTGCCACACAATAAAGGTCTATGTCTATGTCTATGTCTATGTCTTCACGACAACTAATCTCAGCATATGTCTCTTTATGATATGATTCTCGGTTGTTGGTGAAAGATGGGCAGTGAAAGGCTGATGTACCTCAAGGACACTTTGAATGGATCTTGAAGCCCATTTGCTGTAAGGGATGAACCAGTCGATGAAGCCCAACTTGATGACAATCTTGGCCAACCAGAGAGGAAAGAACTTCACCACTCCCAATGCTGCCTTCCCTGTTTTGGCCTCTGTCATATATCTGACTAACCTGTTTCCAAGCAGATTTTGGCTTACTATGCAAAATGAAAGTAGGTAAATTTATTAACGAGGCCAGTACTAGAAGTTTGGATGGGCCTACTTGTCAATGACTTCCTCCTCCCCTGGAAATTGCTTCTTCAAGGTGCTAATCCACCTGTCCTTAGGGTAGCAGAATTCATAGGAAGCTTTCTTATCAGACAGGTACCGCAGCTTCAACACGTCGTAAACTGGGTCTATCGAACAACACGTCTCATTCAGCCACTTGAGTTTTACCTTCATTCCTTCTCACCTATGTGATATTTTAAGGAACTCAACCACAATATTTGCCATCGCAGAGCTGTACCTGTGTGAACAAATTCCAGTTGACCATCAGTGAGCTGGTCAAACAGAATGCGATTGCGTTCTGTTTTCTCAAAACCCCCGACATAGTGGATTCCGACATCAAACTCGTAGCCCTTTTCGATGAAAGTATGGCAGGATCCCCCAGCCTAGAGAAAGAAAAATTAAAATCCAACATTATCAGACATACTAGACAGAACTAAGGCAGTAAAACGAGACATGTGACAATGAGCTTTTCAGATGCCCAATTTCGAGCCTTTGTCTCAGGGAATAGGACGCCGTTTACGGCCATTTACAAAATGGATGCTGATGCACCGAAGCTTCTGTTACATTTTCTAATCATGAGATGAAAATTGACTTATATAGTCGATGAGATGAGTCTCATTCCGCTCATCATCCACTTTCAAATCAGGCAGAAGCAAAAAAAACTGACTGACATGAGGTGACGAATGATCATAGGTTCGGTCCCACCAAAATCCATTAAGTTTAAGCCTTCCCACCTTCTCTATAACCTAATTAGAATCAAATTTCTGCATGGATTTCTTAAGGGAAAGGTGAATTTTTTTTCCGCACTGATGCATGGCAGGAGGATGAACATAACAGATCCCTCCCAAGGCCTCATCGGGGTGGGGGGGGGGGGGGGGGGTTTTCGCCTCACTGTTTTTTATACAGTTTCATCACCTGATTAAGTTCAATTGGAAAGCAGATTTGGTTTTCACACACAACTGATAAGTACTGGCATCAACTGCAATAAACATCTGGACTAGACCAGATCAACTCGAATTTTTTTAAGTCGTAGCCAAATTAGCATAACGATGATCTCCAGAACAGCAAGGAACCTGGTCATGCTGTTCGAGGACTAGAACTCTCTTTCCGGCCTTGGCGAGGAGAGCGGCTGCGGATAATCCTCCGATCCCACTCCCGATCACGATCGCATCGAGGTCATGGGGTATTTTATCCGAAGAGAAACCTGGTAGGCGACAAGAAATATCACAAGGGACATCAAGAGAAGCTTCGCCACGCGAGGCTTCAAACGAAAGATGCATGCGTACCTTGCTTGAGGACCTTGTCCCTGAGTTTCTGGTTGGCCACGTGAGGGGCCGGGGGTCGGACGTCGGCCAACGAGAATATCGGCCTCTTCTTTCTGAAAAGGAGCGACTGCAAGATCTTGAAGAGGAGGATGACCAGCCCACCCAGGGCTAAGGACCACAAGCTCAGCATTCCTTCCCCTCGCGATTTCAAAATCTATCAGTAAAAAATGGCGTATACCTCGTGAAAATCAAGACCTGATGAACCCAAAATAACCGTTATGGATCCGATGGAACATAATACTAAAAAGTTTGCCATTTTTGTAGGTTGTGCGGTAAACTTGTAAAGTCTGACACTAATTGTTTTCATGAAGGCATGTGATAGCCATGGACAGATGGACTGCCTTCGGGTCAGAGGCCTACCTTCTTTCCTTTAAAGAAACACAATCCTCGACCTAAGGACCAATTAGGTCTTTTCAGTGGCATAGGCAGGAAATCGGCAAGGGGGGGGTTGAGGCCAGGTAGACACCCCAACCCTACGCCCAGCTCCACTACCCGGAATTTATCTTTTCAAAGAAATCATGGTCTGCCATCTTGGGTCATTGGACGGACATCAGACTTTCCTCGAAGGGGCATAGCTAAAATTGGAATTCCCAAGGAAGGTTGAAATATGTCTGTCAGTGTCACTGACCGGGAAGCCCAAGGGGGGGTTCAAACCCCCTAACCCCCCCCCCCCCTTCCCTACGCCACTGGGTCTTTCAAGATTAATTCCTGGTCTTTGAGACACCTCGTTGAGGACGTGTAACGTTAGGCCAATCGCAGGCCTATTCAGTCTCTCATGGCCCATTTAATAGAGAACGTGTAACGTTAGACCGATTGTATTTCTTTTTCGGGTTTCATGAACCACTTCAATGCGGTCGGGAAAATTAGACAAATCCGGAGCTCCTCAAACCGTCTCGACTCGTTCCGAGAAGAAAATGCCTTTAGAAAGCATGTCATAAGAGCTGGCCGCCATCTTGTTAATTTGGGGATGTCCTGATGAGATATCTTCGTATTCCACCAAACCGATCGATTTGGTGGAATCTCAGCTTAGCCCATGAATTCAGCACAACATTGTTTCCTACATTAAAAAGAGAAGATCTAGACAACGATACTAAGGCCGAAGAAGTCATGAATCTGACATAACTTCGACAAGACATCCGGCAACACTGGGGGACGGGATCGGAGTTAGCGCTATGAGCCTAAATGAACGACAGCTAATTTCATTTTTTATGGCGAAATGGTGCATCGCAAGCAACAAAAAGGGCACTTTCCCCTCATCTGCAAGTCTTTATTTTTCTCATGGTTGGTCTCTTTTCTCCGAAAGCATCCCCGGGAATGTATACTCAGGGGGGAAAGAAGAAAAAGGAAGTAATGAAATTCACATCTTCCAAAAACTAGATTCAGTAATCTCCACAACCCCGGGGAGTTGGAGCTTCAAATTTGCTGGAGCGATTCTCTGTTGTGAGAGGAAAAAGCACCCTCAAACTTCGTTCATGATGGTCCTCTAAGAGAGGAATACGAAGAGGTTGAATTTTACTGCGGGAAAGGGTTGAAGAAAGGTAATTGATATAGTCAGTTTGACGAAGTGAACGTTCAAAGGCAAACATAGGCTAAAGAGACGAAGGTCGAGGTGCATGGTAGAGGTGCTCGCAGGGCAAACTTTTCGTATTCGATAGGGCTGCTCCAATAATCCCGCGGTACCTGCTCCTTTACTCCTCCGATGCGCACCGCAGGCCCGCTTTAAACTCTACGAATCACTTTGCACGTGAATCGTGCAGAACAGAAAACATGCAGCACATTGGTGCTGTTTGTTTTCTGTTTTTATGAAGTTTTCCCATAAAATTTACCACGCCCCTCTTCATTCATCATTCCTGCAATCTAAGAAAACTCTGGAAGTGGACTCGAAGCTTATTTCTGGTTTTAAAAAATCTGGTAGTTGAATGGTGGATAGGGAGAGCTTAAACTTCGACACCGTCGCGGCAGTATGCTTAAATTTATTTATGCTTATTTATTCTCCCCCCAAGAAAGGCCAGGCAACGGTCCCTGACTCCTTTCTGTGAAAAACAGGAGCGCGGCCATAATAAGAAACCAGTTTTAAAAACTCTCTTTAACCTCAAGCCAATGCTTAGTAGTGCTAACGACAGAACACTTAGTAGGTAGGCCGTGCAAAAGCACGGAAATATTTAAGGCGGGGCTAAAGTACCGTGTATATTGATTCCGGGATGCTAGAGGTCCTTTTAAAACTCTGTTAATGCAATTGGCGGTAGAGAGGGTTAAGGCTGACTTAAGCTCTCTTCGAGTCCGCCTCTGTCTGGGGTTGGTCCATAACGGCATGCCTAGAAATATCTCACTTGACCCTGACCCCTTTTGAGTCTCCCTTGCCTGGGAGTTGGTTTTTTACAACTTTTCTATATCCATGCGGCTCACTCTCCTGTTGTGTAGATGAAAAACTCAGGCATAGGAATATGAAGGAAGGACATGCTTATTTTATATAAGCATGCCCTTCCTTCATATTCCAGAAGGTGATGGAGCATTTATTAACCAATTCCAGGAGGGAGTGACTCCGAAGATGACTTGATATGAAAAAGGGCGAACTTTCTTTTCCCTACCCTGCATGATCGTATCGACATATCGGCAGTATTCATTATTAACATAACGATCAGGGTCAAGTTCTTCACTAATTGCACTATTAACAAAGTTTTCTACCTCACGCGCAATCCGTGCCCGACGTGACCTGAGAGACCGACTGAATCCGTGCGTCCGGTTGCCTTTCCGAATCTTCCACCCTTTTTTCGATCTGTTCGGTTTTCCCATTGCTCTTCCATCCCTTCTCGAACCAGTATGTAGAATCCTAGAGTCCTGAGATGACTATCCCTAACCCACCCCCAGGTAATTCCAGGAAAGAAAATATTTTTCGCGCGCCCTCAACAGCCGCCAGATAAGCCCATTCTCCACATAGGGTGCAATAATCATATTTTGAGAGATGAAAAGATACGCGTTCCGACTGAGACCTAAACCTGGGATGGTCCAAGAGCATCTCTGGGATTAACCGGGTTGCCCGGAGGCGCTTTTCACGGGAGGAAGGAGGTGAAAGTCTCTGTTTCGACGAATTGCCGGAGATGACTGTCCCAGGACCATCCTAAGATAGCGTGTCTGTCGAAACGAAGCTTTTGTGTAACGTCCCTAGTAGCACATAACATTGAAACTACACTGATTCAAAGTCGATTCAGCATTCGGACGTTGAACCAACGTTGAATCAATGTTGATTCAATATTATATTCTACTTGGGATATACTACAGTATGCAGGGGAAACACCCCCAATTTTCCGCCATGTTGATACGACTCCCGTAGGAAGTAGACACCCTGTGCGCACACCGGGAAAAACTGGTAATAGCTCCTCGTGCGGGAAGATTAACTAATTATGCTGGATTTAAGTCTCATTCGCCAACAACTGGAGACCGGCCAGAAACCGGGGTGTTTACCCTATGTGATTAAAATTGCATATAAAGTTACGAAATAAACTTGGTACCTACACTGTAAAGACAAATTTCTTCTTTCGATACCGATAAAATCACGTTCGAACTCGGAATGCATAATGCAAAGAGCCCCATGAGGACGAGAGTCCTCCAAAACCCGTTGCGAAATCGGCCGATGCCTTGGAATTACGACCACACAGCGCATCCTGTTTGGTGGTTGACCGGTGTCGTAGCGATCGTTGACAGGCCGAGGTTAGATTAGGATGGTTCGATTGGGTTTGTCTAGATGGGGATTGCCTGAGGCGATTTGCCCTGAAGAACATTAATTACTACTGACGTAATGTTGAATTCAAGGAAAATTTTACTTTGGAGGTACAGCACCTCAAGGCACAATTACTGGATGGGGCGGCTTTTCCAAAGGCATTGGCACAACGAAACGGGAAAATATGCAGAGCTTGAACTTGCCATGAGATAGGCCCTGTCTCCTCTGAACAATTTGAAATAATATGGCGAAGCAGCAGACCTCCTCGTTATGACAAAGTTATATCCGATTTTTTTGGAAGTGCATCCGTCATGTCACTTACTTTGTCATCGGCAACATCATTCTTTGTCCCAAGGTGACATCGACCTCCTTACATGAAGTCTTCGTGCGGCGCAACAGCTGCCCCACTCGAAGCATTCTGCAGCTTTCCTACCAAACTGGAAAAAGGACCAATCCACCACCAAAACTCATTGGGGATTAATGAATTCGAAATAGCTCCCTCTTGTTCTATGGATACCATCGAGTGGGAAAACATACACTAAGACCAACCCCATCGATTCAACCGATTATATTGAAAGTCCACGTGAGATCCCCCCTCCCCTCCTCTCTTCGTTTACTGTATACTCTCGAGTCAGTAGAGTCTCAAAGTCTCAAGCGGAAGTCCTCCTACCTATTTGTCTGATTTTTGCAGCTTGCCTCTGAAATCTCTCGAGTGCTGGTGGATTTTCTTTAGTTATTCGATTCCAGAATATAAAGCGGCATCCCAAATGGTCCTTACCATTACCGACTCCGACAACAAAATAGCACTTCGACCCATATCGGTAACGGAATGCTAGATTGTTCAAAGACCTATTTGACATGTCCGAAATCTCGGATGTGACGTTCGAAGTAATTTATCCAGTAAGCGAACCATATTGGACAACAGTAAAAATTACTAATGAACCCAATTATGGAGCAGGATTTCTGCAGAAAGGAATTTCTTCGTTTTTCGTCCCATCCTGCACATCCCATGTAAACGTATAAACACGGGAAACTATCAACATTTTAACTCTTTAATGCATGATGTTTTTTAGCGAGAAAAACCTGGCGGGTTTCACTCACGTCTTAAAACACGGGTTAAGTAGAAAAAAGAAAAATTTTATATCAAATTCGTAGCAGTATGCTTAAAAAAAAAAACTTTCATGACATTGTCGAGCGATTTGGAAGTGACAACGCATGGATGTTGCTCGACTCGGCGATGGGCGGCCAATCAACAGGAGCCATTACCGAAACTACGTACCACTCGCTCCGTGTGTGAGCATGTTCGCGATCTGCTCTGCTTGCGTTGGAATGTATTTCCTTCCGAAAGTTAATTCAGGGGTTATGCTGTCACGATGCACCAGCAAATATTGGCATCAGGCGCATTTCCCCGGCAGGTCGATTTTTATCCAGTTCCATACGGAAAGCCATGATAGAACTCACCGTTGCTTCAACTAGCAAATTTCCCGCTTGCTCCCTCGAGACTCGGCTCGAGCACCGAGAGATGGCTTGCACGGAATGGAATTTCCGAATGGTGGAAGCCTTCGAAGTATGGAGGAAATAAAGAAATTCATTCGAGGCAATCTTCCTCTAAGTTGCTCTTCCAGATCCGCCTCTTCGTCTGGTTTCCGCTTTAACATCCGTGGGCGTCGTCGTCTGCAGGAGGGATGGAGGGTTAATGGTTGTTGGAGTAGATTGGAATGTTGGAGCCTTCGTCGTCTCTCCGTCGGTCTAGTGGTTCTTTTCGATGGACGGGTCCGATTCTTTCCTTCCATTGCTTTGTAACTTGGTCGAATCGGTACATATTTAGGATTC